ATATAAACAGCGCCTCCTTGAGCCCCAGCCCGCCTGCAAAGCAATGAAGCCAAATCCTGATGATAATGCCCCACTTGGCATTCTGTGCTCTACAAGGGCAGAGCTCACCCGTGCACCTATCAAAGCCTCTGGAGGAAAACTCAAATAGAAAGCTCCTCGAGGGGATGACCTAAGTTCCACTCAGCTTCTAGCCTCCATATTTAGCATACTTCTTTATACACAGGAAATATTTTCCAAGTATTTGTTCAACTCATTATATGGAATTATTTTTGGAATGGATACTTGCCTTCTCTCCAATATATTTAAGTCCAATAAACTCACATCTCTGTTAAAGAAGTCTCTCTCCATGGCTAATACCAATACTATCCATTATCAATTTCAAATTTAACCAGCCTCAACTTCCCAACCAAAAACAAGGAAATTTGAAATTCCAGAACGCCATTATACTAAATGGAAGTTTTTCTACATGTTCTAGATCTCTGCTATCCAATATGGTAACCACTAACCACATGCGACTATTTAAATTTTAATTTTAAAGAAAATCTAAAATTTAATTCCTCGGTCTCACTAGCCACCTTTTAAGTGCCCAACAGCCACATGCGCCTATCTTACTGAACAGTGTAGATACTGAACATTTCCATCATTCTTTTGCTCTAGGCGCATTATAAATCTTAAGAATCAAAGAATTCTTAGCTTGTAGCCAGTATCAGATCATCAAAGTGCCATAATTAAATTTAAAAATATACTGCTCCTTTAATTAAAACAGAAGGAAACACTCTCACTGATGAGTAGAGAGCTTTTATAATAATAGATTTGCCTCATCACAATGAAAAATTTAAATGCAGCAAAATTCTCATCTATCTCTGGTTGCCAAAATTAATATGCTATGCAGAGGGCAATGCATACTTGGAGTAGCATGAATCCTCTCTTTGGACAGTTAAGACTTCTGGTTAATGGTCATTTAGGCAGCTCAGTCCTAGGCTGAGTAGAGTGTGCAAACATCTAGAAAATGTTCAACCCAGGGATTTCAAAATGTATGCATACAAAACCAAAACATCTAAGTCTTTTAAAAGCTCAAAAGTTGAAGCTAAGGGAAAGGGTGCCATGAATACGTTAAGAAATTATGTAAATTAGAACAAAGGAAGACTCTAGGTGGATGATCCTCTCTCCCTGTCCCCACTAAATGCCAACATGCCTTAACAGATAAACACACATACAGGGAGTTAAAGTAAAGGGATCTTCTATTTCTTTTATAGACTTCTAGGACATCGAAACTTCAAGGTAAAAGGCCCAGGCAGCAACGTTACAGCTCTGGAATAAAAAATATTTTCCCCCACAGTGAAGCAATGAGAGGGATAGTAAGTGTGCAATGAAAAATAAATCAAAACCCAGATGGATAACGATGTACAGAAGGGGAAGCCTGGGGGTAAAACACAAGGTAACTTATCCAGGAGTGTCAAGGTATAAAACAATGCACTGGAGTCTGAATTTTACATATTTTTGTTAAGTATTTGTGATGTTCTCACTGGGTTGTCCACGACACTGTACAATGTTAAGGTTTTTTTGGTTTGTTTGGTTTTTTTAAAGATTTTATTTATTTGAGAGAGAGCGAGCGAGCACAAGTAGGCATAGAGGCAGGCAGAGGGAGAGGGAGAAGCAGGCTCCCCGCCGAGCAGGGAGCCGGATGTGGGGCCCGATCTCAGGACCCCGGGACCATGACCTGAGCTGAAGGCAGCCGCTTAACCGACTGAGCCACCCAGGCACCCTAATGTTAAGGTTTAATTGCCCAAGGTCACTCATCAGTTACCACCTGAGAATGTGTTCTACCTGAAGGACCACCCCAGCGGGTCACAAACAACTCTACTTTGTTTTCAGCTCAGTTTTATGCTGGATTCTAAGGCCTACGACATCCTACTAATGTAAAGGTCAAAGGAAATACATCCCTAAAATATTGCCAGGAGGACAGCTAGAGATACTAGGGGTGACCAACAATTCGGAGCTTAGTGATGTCAACTTTTAACTTTCATCTCACCCTTTCCCCTCCACACTATCTCCTGGTCCTCAAACAGTGATCATCCTTTTATACCTGACTCCAGTGTCCTTGAAAAGCTATTTATCATCATGAAATCAAACTGTATTTTCTCCTTTGGGAACACACATGCTGTATGACAAGACAGGAAATCCTTAGACCATGATGGGTAGAACCATATTAGACTTACATACTGACCTTGACTTTACTGGAAAATTTCAAGTGGTAAAAATTTCATCAAGGTAAGAGAGGAACAAATGAGAAACATTTTTTCCTCCACTTTAAACATTCATTATTTCAATTCTGTTGTCAACTGTTTGTAATAGTTTTATAAACTCTCAGGAACTCAAGAGAAAACAGTGCATGAGTCACTCTCCCAACAGCATATAAATGATGAAAAATATATTATCATATGCACACTATCATTCATGGAAATTTTTATTTAGCTGTTTTTAATAAAAACCCATATGATCAACAAAGTATATATTAAGCATGTTACAGATTCTAGCACAGATTTCTTGAAATTCAGAGGAAAAGTATGTGGACCAAAAAGCATTAATATATCAACCTTCAGAAAAGAGGCTTAAAAGATTTAAAATATCAAAAACAAAATGTTAAATAAAGGCTTAAAATATTAAAAAGAAAATTTTTAACTAGAATTTATCAGATTTACTAAAAAATGTCTTCATTGAGACATTAGAGAAGAAATTAACGTTTTAAACAAAGACAATTTTTTAAAGTAAGCACTCTTACAAAATGTTTATCTAACAGAATCCAGGCATTCTGGCTACAGCATCTCTATTGACATACCTAAAAAACCACAAATTACTATGAAATAGGTCTGGAAACATGTGGCCCACCTAGAAAAAAAGGTCTTTAACAAAGAAAGAATTCTTTCTAAATTACGTCGGTACTCACGAGGTAGAACAACGGGTTATAGATGCACAGTGTTGGTCACATACTAAGTAATGCCTTTACTAATAAAAAAGTATGTCCGAATAGCACACGTTTGTGGGGGTTTTTTTGTTGTTGTTGTTGTTGTTTTTTACAGAACTTAATCATCAGAGGCTAAAACTGAGAGGCATAGGGACTAGTTCCAAGATACCAGATAAGAGGATGGCTACAGAATGAAATTATCGTTAAATATTAACTAAAACTCAAACATGCAAGAAAATATTAAATATGTATTACAGTTTTAGGATGAGGTTAAGGAAAAGAGGCAGTGAGCCAGGTTCCTATTACATTAAGAGGAATCTCTGTTCAAAACAGGGAAGGGAGGACAGCAGAGGAAAAAGAGTCAAGGATCCTCCTGACTCCTGGGGGCCCAGCAGACACATCCAGCCCAGGACTCAGCTTCAGGTAGAGGGGTGGGGAAGGGAAAAAAGGTTCTTATTCTCCAGACCATGTCACCCATGAAGGGTCTACTTTCAAGGTCAACCTCAGCAGGAAGCCTGGCATCAGGAGGGCCTCTGGTGTCTAACAGTCTACCCCACATGTGTGCTAGCGAGTGCATACCTACAACATAGGGTTTAACACGTATACCTGCCGGAGATAACATACAATTCTTTTCAGTATAATCAGTCAATTAATCAGAAGTACTACAGAATCAATTCCAGGCTGCTGTGAGCAAAGCCCCCTAGAGTTGGGTACTGTTGTAGCCCCAAGACATCTGGTCAAAATCTCACATGCACTAAGCAGCAACATGGAGTTCCACTTCCAATCTGCTCCATTTTATTATTTATTTCTCATTGTAAATTATTAAAATATTATTTAATAGTTTAGTCATTACTTTGTATAATTTTTAATTAAGTTGCTCTCATATTATTAAATTATTATTTTTTCAGTCTTTGTAAGCCTAGTGAAGGTAGCCCCATCCTCAAGAGATGACACATTTACCAAAGAGAATAGGACAGGACTAAGATGACAATCATCCTGGTTTTCCTACAGACTGTCCAGGTAATGGCACTGAAAGTCCTACATCCCAGGAAATGTCTCAGTCCTAGGCAAACCAGGACACCCGTCACTCCCAATAAGATCCAGAAGTTGGTAACTATACCAAGATAATATTGCCCTAAGAAGAGTAGATACTATGTAGACTGATATAAACCCACTCCCACCACCTTCTCCTTTGCATTCTAACCAAAAAGACTGGAAAGCTAAATTCTTGACCTCCCTGACTACCTGCAGCTAAGGGATGGCCATGTGACTCAGCTCAGGATAATGAAATAAGAAGCCCCTGGTGGGAAGGGGACTGCCTTATTTCCTGAGTAAGGAAAAGCCTCACCAGGAGAAAGCTTTTGCTGTTACCCTTGGCCCATTCCCTCTGTTCCCTGCTGGAACAAAGAAGTGATGCCTAAACACAAAGAAGTTACTTTGTGAGAAGAGTGCCTGGGTGGCTCAGTTGGTTAAGCATCTGCCTTCGGCTCAAGTCATATGATCCCAGGGACCTGGGATCCAGTCCTGGTCAGGCTTCCTGCTCAGCAGGGAGTCTGCTTTGCCCTCTGCCCCTCCCCCTGCTCATGCTCCCTTTCCCCTTCTCTGTCTCTCTCTCTCAAATAAATAAAATCTTAAAAAAAAAAAAAAAAGAATTTACTTTGTGAGAGGGAGATGAGCATGAGAAAAACCTCTATGCTAAAGATGTTGAAGCAGAGACATGCAAAGGCCCTGAGTCTGGACGGCACTGTTGCAGCCTCGGAGTTCCTCCCCAAGACTGCTGCAAGAGACAAAGGACTCGGGCGGGAGGAGGCTGCAGCCCCGCGCCGAGCACAGTGTCTGGGGGAATTGGCAGCATCACGGTGCGGCCGCCTAGCCGAGCGCAGAGCGCAGAGCGCAGCCACCCGCCGCTGCCCAGGGAGCGTCCAAGATGTGGGGGGATCGGGGCGGCAGCGGCCGCAGCAGCGCCAGGGGACAGGGGCGCGCAGCAGCCTCCGCTCACCTGCCTGTGCTAACCTGCCTCCCCTGCCCCCACAGAATGTCAGCCAAGTCCAAGGGGACCCCCTCCTCGTCCTCTCCAGCCGAGGGACCGCCGGCAGCCTCCAAAACCAAGGTGAAGGAACAGATCAAGATCATCGTGGAGGATCTAGAATTAGTCCTGGGCGACCTGAAGGACGTGGCCAAGGAACTTGAGGTGGTTGACCAGATTGATACCCCGACCTCCGACCTGCAGCTGGAGGATGAGATGACCGAGAGCTCCGAAACAGACACCCTGAATAGTAGCTCCAGCGGCACAACGGCCTCCAGCACCGAGAAGATCAAAGTGCAGGCCCACGCATCCCTCATCAAGCCCCCAGTACACCCGTTTGCTATCCTCACCGTCCTGAGAAAGCCAAACCCTCCGCCGCCTCCCCCGCGGGTGACCCCTGTGAAGTGTGAAGACCCCCGGAGAGGGGCGCCGACGGTCAATCCCGTGAAGACGAATGGCATCCTCCTGCGAAATGGAGGCTTCCCCGGGGCACCCAACAAAATTCCAAATGGAGACGTCTGCGGCATACCCGCTGGTACCTTGGACAAGGCTCCCGGGCGGCCTCTGAAGCACAGACCTGAAAAAGACAGGTGCCCCCAGGCAGGGCCTCGGGAACGAGTTCGGTTTAATGAAAAAGTGCAGTACCATGGCTACTGTCCCGACTGTGACACCCGGTATAACATAAATAACAGGGAGGTCCAGTTACACAGTGAACCTGTCCACCCACCGGAAAAGCTTCCTCAGGTAGACCCCCCCTCCACTCCCCCCCTCCTTTTCCACTGGAAAACGGGGGGGGGGGGGGGCGCGCTAAGAATCAGAGTTTCCCCCCTCTCAGACCTGCAACTGTGCCTCCTCCCACTGCACCAAAACCACAGAAGACAATCTTGAGGAAATCAACCACAACAGTGCGATGTATGCCATTTCCAAAACCTTTTGGTTTTTTTTTTTATTTCTATATTATAAACATAAAATAATAAGTAATGAGCACTTTCTACTCAAGCAATAAAAAGCCCAAATATATTTTAAAAAGAAAAAAAAGAGACAAAGAACTCCCATGTGTTCAATCTCCACCGAAGCTCCCCATTATCTGAGGTGAACATATCCCTAACTTATATTAATTGTGAGACTTTTTAAGAGTCAGCAGGCCGGGGTGCCTGGGTGGCTCAGTCGTTAAGCGTCTGCCTTCGGCTCAGGTCATGATCCCGGGGTCCTGGGATGGAGCCCCGCGTCGGGCTCCCTGTTCGGCAGGAAGCCTACTTCTCCCTCTCCCACTCCCCCTGCTTGTGTTCCCTCTCTCGCTGTGTCTCTGTCTGTCAAATAAATAAATAAAATCTTAGAAAAAAAAAAAAAGAGTCAGCAGGCCACTACTGGCTTAAAGGTACTCATAGTAAACAAAAGAGTAAACTTCTTTTTTTTTTTTCCCAGCAGGTATGTATATTTTACCAAGGAAAACAAGGCGGGGGGGGGGGGGAGGCTCAGGGATGAATAAGGCTTGGGTCAGACAGGGGTAGGGGTGTTTGCTGGGTATACATCTGGGTAATTTTTTGAAAGCTGAAAGGTGAATAGTTTGTTTTCCATGGTCAGGAAACAGGTGTGAATCACAAAACGGCCTCTTCAAAATGTCAGGTAGTTTCTTGGAGATATTCTGGTTTGAACTAACAAATGCTTTTCTTTTGAAGCTTCGATAGATACTAATCTTTCCACTTTGCAGATGAGAAGACTGTGACTTCAAGATAAAGTAGAAGGCCCAAAGTTACAGAGTTCAAAGGTGGAGGAGCCAGTATCCAAATCTAGCATCAGCCCAAAGACTTCCCCTGCCTCTGGCCCAGGGATGCAGTGCATGGACTAGAAAGCCCTGAAAGGTGCATCACTCAGTCTAAATGAGGAGAGGGCATGTGGAGGCTACACAGTGGCACATAAAACTTCATCATGATTTCTTAAAAAAAAAAAAAAAAAAAGCTTTTTAGACAAGTTTGATTGTACTGTAAAGAGGATTTACTCTTAAAGACTTAAAGATCTGTATGTATTAGATAATGAGGTACCATGTGGTTAGAAGTAAAATTTCTGTTAAGATATTTACTGACACAGAGGGCTAGCTGGTGTCCAGTTAGCTCAGTTAGAATGTGGCAGGTACGCCAACATCGTGGGTTTGGTCCCTGAAACAGCCCGAGAGAGTAGCAATTTTCATATTTAATAAAAATTAATTTTTAAAAAAGATACTTACCAATACAATTATTACTTAAAGGGAACAAAATGAGAAGTAAAACGAACAGGCCCCCTTCCTCGACTACTCCTTGAATGTCGGTATTCCCAGAGACCGGTTCTCTTCTCCGCAACCATCATCCCTCACGGACTCCTGGATCTCATCCCACACAATTTAGATTAGAAACGTGTCTGCATTTTGATCCATCCTCTCAACCCACGCAGATACTGCTCTACAGCGGTTCTCCCTTACCTCACTTAGCATCTCAATCCCCCATCCCACAATCGATGTTTCACGCTTCTACCTGTTTTGTACCTAAAACATAAATCTTTCCTCCTCTTCTTAAAAGCCCACTTACAGAGTAAGGTCCAATTTTTTTTTTTCCTGGACACAACTCTACCATCTTCACAGCTTCATCTCCCACACGCTTCCCTGAGCCATACACTGCTCCGCCGTCCGCTACTTACCATTGCTCATACATGCAATCTGGATCACACTTCCAAAACTCTGGGCTTGCTGTTCCCTCTGCCTAGAAATGCCCTCCCACTTTGGGGCTATCTGGTGCACTTTGATACTAACTTGCAACCTAAAAGTTCCTCCCTCTGCAAAGCCTTCCCCCACAAAACAAAATTCTCCTCCTTTGTGCTCTCAAGGTAATTCGTTCACTACAAACTCAGGCACTCAGTACACATTAGCATTAGCTGTATGGTTCGTTACTGATGCACCCACCCTACTAGACCCCAGCTGAACACCCTACTATACCCATATTGGTACTCAGTGAATAAATATGGAATATCAGATGAAATACTGACTGTAAGTGAACCCCATGAATCCTTTTAAGGGAAAGAGTTCTCTTACTCATTTCTATATTCCTAACACGAGCGAATCTGAGACGCCCAATAAATGTTTGCTAAACTTATTATCAAAACCCCTTACAAAAATGTCTCCATTGGGGCACCTGGCTAGTTCAGTCTGTAGGGCATGAGACTCTAATTCTCGGGGTCATGAGTTCAAACACCATGTTGTGCGTGGAGCCTAATTAAAATTAAATGAATGAGTAAATACATAAAACAAACACACCTCCATTGAGTAATGATTTACTGTCACCCCTTTCTGTGAACTGAGAAATAGCATCATTCAAGGAAACTTCAATACATGTATTTCTGACTTGTCTGAAATTTTTATATAAACAGCACACATTATTTTTACAATCAGGTATTTCCCTTTCGGGGAAGAGGAGAGAGAAGAGTAGGAAGAAAGACTGTCAAATGGTGTTACTCATTGTTCACTATATAGGATTAGAATCCAAAATAAATTGCCTTTAAATTCAGAAAAATCAGGGGGAAAATTCTCTCTTCTCAAACTTCTATGCTTCCCTGTCTGAGGATGAAAATCTTAAAAACCACATCACTCTCTTTTCTCCTTAGCTTCTAGGATATTTAGAACTAAATTATTCATTCTAGACACAGGGTTTATCTGTTCCTTCAGCTTATTTTTGATGCTTTGAAAAACAGATTAGTATACTAAATATATTTTAATAACCTTAGGGACCTAAAATCATTTTGGGATGCAGGCAAAGTATAACCATCATGTAATGGCTGAAATTAGGCAGAGCCACTTAATGCAGCTTGATCAAAACTGCACTAAAGCCTTGAAAAAAATTATTTATCTCTGAAATCTTGGCAAAATCATCCCCCCTTTTCTAAATTATTTCCCAATGCATTTTAACTAGCTCTTTCATTTTAATTGGGATCTTTAAACCATTACATATTTAGGCATCATTTAAAATCTTCCTTTATACAGCATTAGACGGCCCATACTGACACACAAAGCCTTAGCTCTACATTATTCTGTTCCCAGAAACCCTTGTGGTTGGCTTAATTTTGCCTTGGAATAAAAGGTCTACTTAAATTGAGAAATAATTCTGTATGATAACTACAAAAGCAATAACTCCTCAAAATAAAATTCTGTCTTGGTACTTAAGAGATGCCACAAAATAGTACTACAAAAAACAATAAGAAGTGAGCTTTTAAAAAAAAAAAACAAGTCTTCGTGTGAAAAAAAGTAATGCCAGTCACAAAGAAGGAACACATTCCCTACCTAACAGAGCAGACACTCTCCTGAGAAGTTGAAGCTTATTTTCCTACTGCCATAGCAGAAACATGGGAGATACATTTACATTTCAGAGCAATGTTGACATGAAGTTGCAAGTGTAAATATTTGTTCCCTTTTGGTTTATAAATTTCACGATGATAAAATTCTGTGTATAGAGCCACTAATTAAAAAGGAATCTATTTGCCTAGTAGGATGCTTGAGGTTGTATGTTTATTCGAGATGAATAAAATGGTGCACACTAGTAAGGAACGGGAATTAGAATTTTGAACTTTATTGGTTTTAACAAGTTCCTCCTGGGAAGGAAAAGAGAGTTCATTTGTCAATTATAAAGAAGCTGCTTCAGATGATAATTTGTGTGACGAATCATCTCCCCCTGACCTTGAAAGTAACAAAGGATGATATGTGATGAAGAAACAGCAAATTAAATGTTTTAGAAAAAGGAGGCCATTTTCTATCACTTTGTTTTTAGGGTCACTTACTATCAGTAACCACTTAATGGCAATCTAGTAACAAGGTCCCCTCATTGTTCAAGATTGCTTTAATATGCTACTCAGGGAACCAGCTAAACAAAATTGATTATCACCTAACACATTCAGATGAATAGCGAGCACTACTACTATCTTTCTTCTCTACTAATCTGGAATCTAGACCTTAGAAGACTTCTTATAATAAGAACCACTGCCACAAACAACTCACAGTGACTGAATTCTTACTATGTGCCAGGGACCGTTTGAAGCACTCTCTGTGTATTAACTAATCTACAGCTCTGTGATATGAGTACTAGTATCACCAATTTGTTAAATAAAACATTTGAAAATTAAAAACACATGTATCTTACACAGAGGAGTGAATTCTCAAGGTAAGTAGGTCCAGAGCTCAAAAGTAGGGAGTCAACTCTACATAAATTGATATTAAGCGCCCCCCCACCCCAAACACCTTCTCTAGGCTCCCACATGGGGTTCCTCCTTTGTCACTGGTGCTCCTTTCTCTTACCTGTCCTGGGAATCTGGCTCAGGCCTCTGCTCTTCCGATCTACACTTTCACCCAGGTAAGCTTGGTTAAGCTCATCAGCCCCATTCCAGCTATACATTCATGGGTTTCAAATTTGTAGTTCTAGTTCACACCTCTACTCAAGATCCCGGCTATCAAGCTGACCACACTGAGTCTCTATATGGATGTCCAAGAGGACTCTCAACTTCATGGCCAGATACAGAACTACAGATTATTTTTCTCTCAAATCACATTTCTCTATCAGCCTCCAGCCCTCTCTACCAGTAAACAGCACCATTACCAACCCAGATTCATCCTTAAGTCCTTCCCTCTGTATCCTACATCCAATCCATTATTAAGTCCTGTTGGCTTTATCTCCAAAAAATATCTCAAATCTGACCTCCTCTCCCTCCACTCTCCCCGGATCCCCACAGTACAGTTTCAAAGGCCATCTTTCTGTCCTTCTAACACCCTGTGGCTTAATTCCAACTCACGGCTTTTGACCTGGGCTGGGGCTCCTGCTTGAGACACTGCCTTCCCTGAGGCAAAGCAGTATCTTCAGTTTCACTCAGGTCTGAGCTCAAGTGTCACCTTCCCAGACCAGTCCTACGGAATCCTCAGAGCACCTATCGCTTAATACAGCTTAAGGAATATTATGGTTTTACTCGGTGACATACTTAAATGTAAGCTCCTTGAGGGTCATGTCTGTCCTGCTCATATCTACTGCTGAGAACAATGTCTGGCACACAGCAAGCACTCAGTATTTGTTGACCTTAAGACTGAAAGTAAAGGACTACAAAGTCAACTAAGAAAACACTGACTTATAGCCCATCAATCATTAAAGAAATAAACAACACAAGACAGCCAACAGTAGCCACCCAAGTGAGTTTGTCTTTTGCTTTCTTATTCCCATGGGAACTGTAAGACCTCTGTTTACAATAATCCTCTGCATGGCTTTCCAACTTTAGACTGTAACTCAAAGTAAAAAATACATTTTATCTGATGACCTAGTATATACACATATACGTATTTAACTAAAGTTCCATGAGACCTTACTTATCCTTTCTTACACGGGACATGCTGTTTATTCAGTTAGTTTGTTTGTTTGATGATAAAGTAGCCATTCACTACATTGATTTCACAACCACCTAATGGGAAAGAATTCAGTTTGAAGAGCACTAATTCCCATGCTTGTATTTGGGTTTTCTGAGTAAAGAAAATAAAGTATCTTTGTAAAAAGGAAATTTTCTGCCTCTATCTGCTGACTTCAAATGAGTCACTTCTCCTCCCTGAGCCTCCCCTCACCTGTGAAATAAATCCCTGTGTTAACTACCCATAGAGGGGCTGACTGGAGTAAAACAGACTGGGGGTGAAAGCTACTGGAATTCAGTTTATAACCATCAGGGAGCCCCCAGGGG